CACAGCCCCAGAGAGACCTCGTCTGGAACAATCTGTACAGTTCTCATCAGGCACTTTCAGAAACATAAAGATCAAATTCCGCAAGTACAGAATAGAGCTAATCAAAGAAATGGCAAGTCTGCTTTGTGAGAGAGCACTTGAAGGCCTCCATCTGTTTAACTTCTCTAAACAGGAGTAATGGGTACCAAAAAGGTACCTAGCTGTAGGTAGGGCTTGATTATTATGGAAGGAGAGATATGACTGTCCATGAAGATGAGGAGGTCTTGATGTCCTAGAATATCATTATCTATTCACGCATTGCTGTATTTTCAAGGATAGTTCAAGAGTCCAGAAGGCATTCAGGTTCCTGGAGGTTTGGCTGACAGGGCTCAGTCAGGGTCTACTTGGAGCCCAACCGACCCAGCCCTTAGAGCCAATCCTTATCCCGAAGTTACGGATCCGGCTTGCCGACTTCCCTTACCTACATTGTTCCAACACGCTAGAGGCTGTTCACCTTGGAGACCTGCTGCGGATATGGGTACAGCCCGGCGCGAGACTTACACCCTCTCCCCTGGATTTTCACGGGCCAGCGAGAGCTCACCGGACGACGCCGGAACCGCGACGCTTTCCAAGGCGCGGGCCCCTCTCTTGGGGTGAACCCATTCCAGGGCACCTGGCCCTTCACAAAGAAAAGAGAACTCTCCCCGGGGCTCCCGCTGGCTTCCCCGGGATCGGTTGCGTCACCGCACTGGGCACCTCGCGGCACCCGTCTCCACCACTCTGGATTCAGGGATCTGAACCCGACTCCCTTTTGATTGGTTCCAAGGCGCGGGTCCCTCTCTTGGGGTGAACCCATTCCAGGGCACCTGGCCCTTCACAAAGAAAAGAGAACTCTCCCCGGGGCTCCCGCTGGCTTCCCCGGGATCGGTTGCGTCACCGCACTGGGCACCTCGCGGCACCCGTCTCCACCACTCTGGATTCAGGGATCTGAACCCGACTCCCTTTTGATTGGCTGAGGGCAACGGAGGCCATTGTCCGCTCTTTCAGAACGGCACTCGCCTATTGCTTAGGACCAACTGACCGGTGTTCAACTGCTGCTGTTGTTCAACAGCCACGGGCAGCCCCCTTTTAGGGTAACTACAAGCTACTGGTGGGCAGGACCGAGTCCCAGCGGTATGCTGGGTTTATAGCAGACTGTCCATGATATCAACACAGTCGCCCTGAAACATTTTGGATTGGACAAGCAGAAAAATTCCAGCGAAATAAAATTGAATGAAAAAAATCTTTCTTCAAAAACTATCCAATAAGCTGCAGTCCTCATGCTGCCTATATAATGTGTGAATCTCAGTCCTGATGGATTTGTGTGTGCAACAAGTATCTCCAGCTCTTGGGGAAAAAAAACAGCCAAAGACATCTGATTGTACTTTCCAAGAGGCTGCTATTGCACTTAATCAAAGATACTATATGAGACAGGTACAGTCTTCTCTTCAGCCACCGAAGACTTCAGGGTGGGAATCTGACTATTTTATATCTCAGCATTTCCGAAGGCCCCAGTCCAGAGCACAGCCCTTGTTACAGGACTAATATAGACACAAGATCCTACCATACCACTAAAATTCATACCAGTATGAACTGCATCTGGCTTTACAAGAAAACAACCTACACCTCGACAGCCTCCCTAGTAATTGTAACTCCTGATGCACTGGCATCCTCTCAGATTCAACCGTGACCTTTACAATTTAAGAAATAAAACTTCACTACCTTTTCAATATGTTGAATACACAGGGAAGATAGGAGTCCTCTGTCATCCTGACAGGGCTCTGATCCCAAGCGTGGTTCCACTTCAGAGGGAGAATCAAGTAACAGGCTAAAGAAGAAACTTAGCAAAGAGCTAGCCATCATGGAGGAAATGGAGATGGCAAGCCCAGCACATCTCCAACTGCATTTGTTTTTCAATGACAAATGAAGACGTTTAATTAGAACAGGAAATAGCATGTCACCACCATCTGGAGTTACCATGATCCTTTAAAAAAAGAATAGTCTCGGAAAAGACAGTCTAGAAAATTTCAGCAAGAATGACCTAGTCTTCATCAAGTTATGAGTGAATATTAAAGTTGTGCAGCAATTTCCATCATCAACAGATTGCTCAGTCAGCCCTTCTCCATTGCACTGTTTTGGCTTGGATTTTTTTGCTTGTCCTTTTTGTTTTTCTGGTCTCTCTCTTCTCTCACCTCAAACTTTTTCCTGTCAAAAAACTACAGTTTAGGAGTTACAAGAAAAGTATCAGTATTTTTCGTGTGCTTCCACAGAGGGCTTCTGTGCCAGTTACATAACATTGTAACAGATACTGCTCAGCTATAGCCATTCTGTACACGTATGGGAATATGCCTTTTAAT